AGTCATGTAGTCGGTCGTGATCATAAGCTCTTTTATCTCGGAAATTACATAATAATCACAATGTCTAAATCCAATATACACATTCCTCATATAACTTCTAATATAAAAACGACTCCCATGCCTTCAAACCCGTTATAATCTAAGGACATATTTAAATGCGTTTATATAAGCGTACGACCACTTGTACATCACTCGAATATTCGCATGAGTCCTTAATCAAAATAACGTTCCCATTTTACCAATATTTAACTCCAAACATGGAACATGAGGGTTTATAAAGCCTTATCCCAAACTTACTTTGACACAAGTATTTCTACCAAGCAAGTGCTCATCTAGAAACATAGTATAAGTCGAGCATAACCCATGATTTCGATTAGTATAAAGCTTCAAAAAGAGAAGGGTTGGATAAACTCACATTGCAAGATTTGGGAGAAATCCTGAATCTTGGGAATAAATTGATTCAACGGGTAGAACTCGAGACACGAAACAGCAGCTATTGTTGCCTCGATTTCGTTCTACCGAGCACGTTTAACAGCAGCTAACGACAGTTCTTCGTGGCTCAACAGCAGCTTCTGCTGCACTTCGTGGCTCCACAGCAGCTTCTGCTGCACTTCGTGACCTAACAACAGCAACAACTGTTTCTTAAGAACCTATAACTACGGCTGCATCGACGACTCAGTTCCCACACCCCCCCCTTTTTTTCATTCCTAAACAGGTACTGCTCCTCCCTTCATCCCTTCTCATATTTTCTCTCAATTTCAGAGGTTTTTAGCTTTTCCCCAAGCAAGAGATGAACCGTAAAGCAATGAAAGAAAAAGGTGAGACTAAAAGGTAGGGTAAAGCATGGGTGTGGAATGATAGCCCTCTTCTCCCTCTCTCCTCTTTTCTTTTCTTATCCCCAAGAAGAAGTGACCTCCCAAGCAAAAAGACTCCCTCTCTCTACTGTAGTGATAGGCGGCTAGCAAAAGATGCAAAGAGGTAGGTCCTTCCCATGATGGGATGTCCCCTGGTATGGGTCAAAGCACAAGGGGTAACACCCCCCCTTTATTCCTACTTTTACCCTTAGTTCTAATAATACTACTAAGTAATTATCAAGAAAGATTCCCACTTCATTGAAAGGATCAAATAAAATAAAAAGGGTACTAAATCCCCAATATTTAATACACCCATATAAACATACATACAAATATAAATAAGGGATGGTGACTGAGGGAGGGGGAGAAATTTGAGGGTGTTACAATCCTCCCCACCTTGGGTTAAATTTCTTCATCGAAATTTGAGTTTACGCGAAAAGCTGAGGGTAACGCCTCTTCAAGTCCTCATCCGCTTCCCAAGTCACGTTTGACCCTCGATGATGCTTCCATTTTACCTTGACCATGACAACCTCTCTGTTCCTCAACACCTTGGTTTTGCTTTCCAAGATGGCCTCCGGTCCTTCCACGCATTGATTGTTCTCATCAACCCGAATTTCCGACAATGGTATCACACTTTCTTCATTCGCCAAACACTTACGAAGGTAACACACATGAAATGTGTTGTGGATTCCGGCCATCTCAGGTGGTAGTTCTAATTTGGAAGCTTGAAGTCCTATCTTAGCCAAGACTTTGAACGGTCCAAGGAAACGGGGACTTAGTTTCCCACGCTTTCCAAAACGGATAATACCTTTCCAAGGGGACACTTTTAGCATTACACGGTCGCCCACTTGGAATTCTATAGGTCAACTCCTCTTGTCTGCGTAACTCTTTTGTCGATCCTGAGCCGCCTTTAAGCGCTCCCGAATACATTTCACCTTGTCGGTCGTTTCTTGCACGATTTCAGGGCCGGAGAATTGTTTCTCACCCGCTTCTAGCCAACAAACCGGAGTCCTACATCTTCACCCGTATAAGGCCTCAAAGGTGCCATCCCTATACTAGAGTGGTACTATTGTTGTAGACGAATTCTACAAGAGGTAGATGAGAGTCCCAATACAAGAAATGTTACGTAATCTAAAACAAATTCTTCAAAAGCACTCCAAAAATAATGGCTAAATTAAAACTTTAGACCGTTTACAGCGGAAGACTTTAAAAGAATAAATATATAACTTAATGTCAGCCCGTCCCATACCGGGTTGCTTTACAAATTTATATACCATAGATGATTGCACCTAAATATTGAACTTAAATGGAATAGACAAGTCTCTATGTATGCCCTTCTTTTTCTTTGTCCAACCTGAAATCTTCTGTCCCTGATTGCGTATAGATTGACTACTGATAACTCTTGACCAAATGCCTACACATTTCATACCATAACATCTCATTAACGGCTTAATTTCTCAAAAGTCAACAAAAATCAACTAAAGTCAAACTTCGTATCCGAGCATCTTAATATGCCTCAAACAACTCTATTTGACTCATCATTAAAATCCACATGGATCAAACGTGCCAAAAGTCAACCCTGGTCAACTCGATCAACCCCGACTAACTTTAGTCAAGCCCCACATCTAAAACTTCGATGGCATCCCAAAAACATTTTAATATCTTATAATTTCATCTCTCTAAATTAAAACGTCACAATAATTACTTTACTCAAATTACGGCGCTCAAATCGTTAAAAAAAGTTTACCGATTCATATAAGCATCATTCTTAGAAAATAAATAATTAATTAATATTAATATTCAAAAAAATAAATAAATAAATTAATATATT